TTTAACCTGCTACACCACAGCGCCAGCCCCTGACATGACTCTTTATTTAGGGAATCCAAAGAACTTTACTAAGAGATCATTGGTACTCATAGAAGAATTTGGTAAAGCAGCAGGATAAAAATTCAACACACAAAAATCAATAGCCTTTGTATACACAGACAATGCCTCATCCGTGAAATAACTTATAAGATCAATCCCATTCACAATAGCTACAAAAAAATCAAATGCCTTGGAATAAACTTAACCAATGATGTTAAAGATCTCTACGATGAGAATTACAAAATCTTAAAGAAAGAAAGAGAAGAAGAACCAAAAAAATGGAAAAATCTTCCATGTTCATGGATTGGAAGAATCAATATCATCAAAACATCTATTCTTCCAAAAGCAATTTACACATTCAGTGTGATACTAATCAAAATACCAAAGACATTCTTCTCAGATCTAGAAAAAATGCTGCTGAAATTCAAATGGAGGCACAGGAGACCTCGAATAGTTAAAGCAATCTTATACAACAAAAACAAAGCTGGGGACATCACAATACCAGATTTCAAGACATACTACAGGGCAGTTAAAACCAAAACAGCATGGTACTGGTACAAAAACAGAGGGATAGACCAATGGAGCAGAATAGAGACACCAGAAATCAATCCAAACATTTCAAGCCAACTTATATTTGATCAAGGAGCTAAAATCAATCCCCAGAACAAGGACAGTCTATTCAACCAATCATGCTGGGAAAACTGGATTTCCACATGCAGAAGAATAAAGCAAGACCCCTACTTTATACCTTACACGAAAATCCACTCAACATGGATTAAAATCTAAATTTATGATCCAACACCTTCAAATTATTAGAGAACATCAGAGAAACTCTGTAAGATACTGGCAACTGGCAAAGACTTCTTAGAAAAGACCTCACAGGCACAGGCAGCCAAACCAAAAATTAACAACTGGGATTACATTAAATTGAGAAGTTTCTGTACTGCAAAAGAAACAGGAATGTGAAGAGGCAACTGACAGAATGGGAGAAATTATTTGCAAATTATTCAACTGATAAAGGACTAATAACCAGAATCTACAAAGAAATCAAGAAACTCCCTAACAACTAAACAAACAACTCAGTTAAGAGATGGGTCAAGGACTTAAACAGACATTTTTCAAAAGAAGAAATCCAAATGGCCAACAGACACATGAAATAATGTTCAGGATCACTAGCCATCAGGGAAATGCAAATCAAAACCATAATGAGGTTTCATCTCACCCCCATTAGAATGGCTTTTATACAGAAATCAACAAACAACAAATGCTGGCGAGGATGTGGGGAAAAAGGCACACCAATCCACTGTTGATGGGAATGCAAACTGTTAAAGCCACTACGGAGGACAGTTTGGAGATACCTCAGAAATCTGAACATAGCACTACCATATGACCCAGCCATTCCACTCCTCGGAATTTACCAATGGAAATTAAATTGGCAAATAAAAGTGCTATCTATACCTCCATGTTTATTGCAGTTCAATTCACAATAGCTAAGACATGGAATCAACATAAATGCCCATCAACAGAAGACTGCATAAAGAAATTATGGGATATATTCTTTATGGAATACTACACAGTGGTTAAAAAAATGAAATCCAGTCATTTGCAACAAATTGAGGAATCTGGAAAACATCATGCTGAGTGAAATAAGGCAATCCCAAAGGGACAAATATCATATGTTCTCCCTGATCTGTGACAACCAAGCACCTAAAAGGAAACCTGTAGAAGTGAAACTGACACTATGAGAAGCAATGACTTGATCAGCCCTTGTCCTGTCGAGGAACAGCTTACTAAAATTATTTTTTCCTTTTTAGTATTTTCTTTTTCTACTTAATACCATTGGTTGAACTCTTTACTTAACATAGAATTATTCTTATGTGTTTAAATCCAATTGAAATTTGATCCCTGTTAAAAATAAGAGTAGGAATAAGAGAGGGAGGAGATGTACAGTTGTGCACTCATTCCCTAGGACTTACCCTTAAGGGTAAAGCTAAAAACTTGCCATGGGACTCAAATCATATTAAGTTGTCAGATATCAATGCCATCTTACTAGTTAAAGTGATCAGCTTAAGTTCATAACTGATCATAAAGATAGGAATAAGTGTCAAAGGGATCACATAAATAAGATCAGTGTCTGCTAATAATAATAGGTAGAATTAAAAAGGAGAGGATGATCCAACATGGGAAGCAGGACACACAGCAGACTCATAAAATGACAAATGCCCTAAACAGCACTCTGGCCTCAGAGTCAGCCCTTAAGGCATTCAGATCTGGCTAAAAGGTCCATGAGAGCATTTCAGGCATGTAAAGCTAAGACACTGTGGCAAAAATTGAAAGATCTCTGTGAGCGAGATCCCAGTGGAAAGAAGGGGCCATCAAAGAAGGAGGAACCTTTCTCTGAAGGGAGGAGAGAACTTCCTTTTTGATTATGGCCCTATCTAGATAATGTTGGAGTTTGTGGACTCAAGAGGCTTTCATAGCCTTGGCAGCTCATGACAAGATCCTTGGCTGATTACTGACATCATAAATAAGAGTGTCAATTGTTAAATCAATAACAGGAGTCACTGTGCACTTGTTCCTCATGTAGGACCTCTGTCCTTAATAAGCTGTACTATGCAAATTAATGGTAAAACTAGTCTTCAAACAGTACTTTATATGTTGTGTGTTTGTGTGGGTGCAAACTGTTGAAATCTTTACTTAGGATAGAGTTGATCTTCTGTATATAATTAAAAAGGAATCTTAATGAAGAATGGGATATGAGAGAGAGCAAGAGGTGGGATGGGAGTGGGGGTGGGAGGGTGGGTATGGGGTGGAAGAACTGCTATAATCCAAAAGTTGTACTTTCAAAATTTATATTTATTAAATAAAAGCTTTCTATAAAATAAAAAACCCATAAAAGTTTTAGTTTATTTGAAAGGGAGGTGGAGAGGATGAGAGAGAGTGAGAGAGAGTTTATCTCATATCTGTTAGTTCATACCCTTGATACCAACAACAGCTGGGCCTGGGCCATGCTGAAGCCAGGAGCCAGGAACTCAATCCTGGTCTCCCATGTGGGTAGTAGGGACCCAAGTACCTAAGTCATTACCTGCTGCCTCCTAGAGTATGCATTAGCATAAAATAGAATTGGGAGCACAGCTGGTACTCAAACCCAGATATATTGATATAGGATATGGGTGTCCCAAGGTGACTTAACTGCTTTCCAAATGCCCATTTCACATTAATTGTTTTGAACTAACAAACTCAGTAAGACCTTGGTTATTTTCTGTCTCTAGATTGACATGTAGTGTTAATGTCTAAATATGCAGGGAATTGATTTATTCTGAAGTTGTTCAAAATATGTGATTAACTGAAGTTAAACAGAATGTACAGGCCGGCGCCATGGCTCACTAGGCTAATCCTCCGCCTTGCGGCGCCGGCACACCGGGTTCTAGTCCCGGTTGGGGCACCGGATTCTGTCCCGGTTGCCCCTCTTCCAGGCCAGCTCTCTGCTGTGGCCAGGGAGTGCAGTGGAGGATGGCCCAAGTGCTTGGGCCCTGCACCCCATGGGAGACCAGGAGAAGTACCTGGCTCCTGCCATTGGATCAGCGCGGTGCGCTGGCCGCAGCGCGCTGGCCACGGCGGCCATTGGAGGGTGAACCAACGGCAAAGGAAGACCTTTCTCTCTCTCTCTCTCTCTCACTGTCCACTCTGCCTGTGGAAAAAAAAAAAAAAAAAGAATGTACAATATATAACCTGTAACCCTTCTAATTTCTTAACCAGATATAACAAATATTTTTTTCTAGTTACATAGTCATTTCCTCTTAAAATCTCTATAGTTTGAATTTTTGTTTACCAAACTCTTCTGCTTGCTTTCATCATATTTATTTATGCGCTCAATTAAGTTTGTCCCCTAAAACATCACATACTTTCTTATCTGGGGGCATGGTGTAGCAGTTGTTATTGCTTTGTTTCTCTCTTTGTTCTTTTTGGGGTTGGGAGAGAAGGAGAGCCCAGGGGATGTTACTTGATGAAATTCTGTTGAGTCTATAGCAACATCTCTCCTGGTTCTTCCTGAACTAGAACACAGGGTCATAGTAACAGAAATAGATGTCTATGATATTAAAATTTCTATTAGCAAGTCTTTTCCACAATCATAATATACTAACATGGAAAATTATTATGATGTTTTCCCTCCTCAGGTTTCATCTGGCATGCAGAATTTACAAACATTGCTGCTGTCTCAGGTCTGAATGTTGGAAAACTCAATCTTCAAAGAATCTGATGGACTGGCCAAAGCCAAATTTTATTTCTATTACAAAACAAGTCTTGTCTGTTTGGATTTATTGTATATAATTAGAAGCTTACTGGAATCTAATGAAGGCTATCTGTATATCACCACTGTTGCAAAAACATATCTTTGACGATCAATATTTTGCCTGTAGAATAGAATTTAATTTTGTGTGTTAGAGATATTTTGGTATTCAGGGATTGTCAGACCTTTGGTTTAAGGAAGTTTGATGGGGTTACTGTGGACTTCATTGTTCAAATGAAAAGTTCAGAATAGAGAGTATAATGGAATTTGGAATCTATTCTATCTGCTTTTGAATACAGTCCAGCTATTATATTAATACTGAGACGGATAGAACAGAGCTGGCGCTGTGTGCAATTTTTCTTACTTTGAAGCCAGCTACACGGAGAATTTTTATGTTTTGTTTTTGAAAAGTAGGTAGATTATATTCTTGGTTCATCTTTGTTTCGCAGAGGTAAAATTAGAGGCCTCAGCCTCCTGCTGGCAGAACAAGCTCTCAATTTCTCACTGTCGAAATTCAATCTGATTTCTATCTTTTTCACTAAAAAGCTGTCAACAGCAAATAAGCATTTCCCATCAAAGAGCTGCATTCATTTCTGAGGTATACAAATTCCTCTCGTGGGAGTGGATTCAAGTAATTTAAATTGTTTCTGACTTTTAATTTCTTTCCTAGGAAATGGGAAATGATATTAGCATGGACTCTACAGGCCAAAATGGAAGAAGAAAAGACATGCACGGATACTCCTCAGCATGACATCTCCAGGACCTTTAAACCTCAGAGCACAGTGTGTTTACAATGCGCGAAACAGGATTTCCGTCTGCATTCTCATTTGCAGCTGGTGATATAATCATAACTAGCTGCAAGCTCTTAAGATGCAACCGTATAAATTCATTGTTTAGGAGCAGACTTGCTGTAGAACTGTGTACTATAGGAGTGTATACTGCCAGCATAAAAGGAGGGAATGCCTTTGAAATTAAGTGCATTTTTCTTTCTTAGAAATTCTTATTTTAGGAAATGGCCCTTTTTCTGGAGAGATGCAATTCCAGGTACCATGGTCTGCCATATAAGACCATTTAACATAGTGGTTTTTCTTTCCTATTTCTCAAGTTTTATTCTCTTTGGTTTATTTTGTTTATATTTGGTAAGGGTTTAAGAGGGTACGTTGATTTGTAGCTGTTCTGATGAGCATATGCATTACTTTGGTACAGAACCTCTTTAGATAGACTTGTAAAAATGTGAGTTTTTTGTTTTTAGATCGTAAACTTCATTATCTTTCAGTCTTTCCTGCCAGTTCAAGCAAATGTTCACAATCTCGAAATCTCATAACTAAGATAAACGGAAGGTTTGGTTTACAAATACAAATGAATATGCTACTTAGTTTTTTTTAATAGACTTTTTTTAAAGAGCTTCCTTTCTGTGCAAGGGCATTTGACAGTATTAAGAAGAACAGTAGGATTTAAGAAATAGATTTGTAGTGAGCCAGAAGTCTACTGAACTATCAGATGACTTTCAAGAGTTTTAAAGTCCATATATCCTTCTCAGGAGTTCTCTGTTAAGGTCACCCTTTAACATGAAATAAAATGCAATCTCACTATATTCTTTGATCCTGTGTGTGTGTGTGTGTGTGTGTGTGTGTTGTGGACAGATTGTATATATGTGTACATTCTTTTATTCAAGATAGTATTTTTTTTCATTTAACACACACACACAGAGGGAAAGAGAGAGATATCTTCCATCTACTGTCTCACTCCCCAAATGCCCACAATAGCTAGGACTGGGCCAGGCTGAAGCTAGGAGCCAGGAACTTATTTTGGGTCTCCCATGTGGGTGCCAGAGATCAAGTATTTGAGTCATTACCTTCTTCTTCCCAGGGTGTGCATTAGCAGGAAGCTAGAATTAGAAGCAGAGCCAGGACTCAAACTCAGGTACTCTCGTATGGAATGTGGGCATCCAACTGCTACACCAAATACCTGTCCCTATTTAATATGATTTTGAAGATACTTATCTAGCAGTGAAGTAAGCACAATATAGTATTAAAGAAGCATGAACTTGGTTAAATCTTATAGTATTAGGCTAGAGAAGATATCATTAACACTGAGACATTTAAAATTATTTATTTGAGAGAACGAGCAAGCACAATCATCTCTGTTGGTTCACTTTCCAAACACCCACACAGCTGGGGCTAGACTGGGCTGGGCTGGATGTCAGGAACTCAGTCTGGATATCTTGCATCTGGGGGAGGAATTCCATTACTTCCAGGATTTGCATTAGCAGGGAGCTGGACTCAGGAGCCAGAGCAGGGGATTCAGTCTAAGCATTCTGATACAGGACACAGACAGTTTAACCAGTGCCTTAACCTTTAGGTTACATGCCTGCCCAGTGTGATACATTTTAACTATGGAGAAATAAGAAATATTAAAGCAGTATAAAATAGGTATAGCTAATTCCTGGTTGGAATTAGATATGTGATCTATTGCTGTGAAACTCTCCATGTGGATAAATGTGAGCTCATTAACAGGTAATTTGCAGGAGAGGCTGAGTTGGGGGCTGTGGTGGTAGTCCTGACCCTCTCCTTTCCTGATCTGAAGGATTCTGCACTGGCCCTAAATCTCATGCCCCACTAGGTATAACGAAACTCCCTCAGTTAGCCAAACCCACCCCTTTTGCAAGGCAGGTTAGCCCATTTCTGGTTTTCCATTGGATTTTACCTCCAGTATAGTATCATAAGCATACTCAAGAGGACTTTGGTAAATCCAATTTATTTTCATCTCATTACATTTTGCATGATGTTTCAGTACCCTTTATAAATTAGGATTCTGAAATGTTGAGGTCTATGGAAATCTCCCTGGGAAATAGTGTTCAGGTGGGGCCTTAAAGGAACAGTAGAAGCCATTAACAAGAAGAGGAGCCAGGATAAGGAATTCAACCAAGGAAAAAGGATCAGCATGCACAAAGGCTCTGAGACAGGAAGAGCAGATGCTGAGAAGGCCGGGGAGGGACACACAGGAGGCCTGGGATGTGGCTGGAATAGGTAAAATTAATTTCTTTTTGCTCACTTGTACCCCCAGTTCTATTCTTATCTATTTCTATTCTTATCTATTTCTGTCATATTCTGTGCTCTGCAAACTTGACCTTTGTAGAATGGATCACCAGGCTCCTTGTTGGCAGGCTGTTGGATTTGGTCAATAAGATACAATGGCAATATTTTGAAGTGTGGTGGTAATGATAGGTTGAAGTATGTTTCTTGTCTCATTCTCTGCCTTGGTACTCTATTTCAGATAAGAACTGCACCCTACAACTCCTCTGGAGACTTCTCTTCCATGGCTTCAGCTGGCATTAGGTCCTTGGAGAATCATAACTTTGATTTCTGGGGTATTTTGTCACATTATAATAGTTTATCAATAACCCACCATCTTTGATTTGCTCCCTAAACTAGGCCTATACTCTTTTTGTAAAAAGTCCTTAAATTATCTTCATTTCAATTATGTGGAATGAATTCTGCTTTATATAGAGAACCTGACCACACAGGTGAGTTCTAAGGCTTTATGGCTGAGGGCAAATTTCTTAGCTTCAATAAAAACACCACTTTTCTTACCTCAAGATTTTTGATTTCCCATGCTGTTGATGATAAAAAGACCCATGAAAAATCTTAGTAACTATCATGCTTCTTTCTGGTATGAACCATATATAAGACTGGACAAAGGTACACCTGCAAGATTGGAGAAGATTTTCTATACCTCCTGATTCTTTTATTTTGCCTATTTGGAAGGCCATTTCTGACCCCCCACATTGCTATTTTGTGCTAAACTGAGGAATTTGAAATGTTTATACTGAAAGCTATATATATTTCCAGACTGGCAGTCATCACACATGACATATAGATCTATGATACAATACATATGTTTTATGATGAATTAGTAAGTTGCTCCTTCCTCCTATGTGGAAATCTCACAATAAAAGATTCTTGTGGCTAGTCAGTTGGCTCAGAATAGGATATCATTACTGTTCCTAGTTAAACGATTGAAGTTTGCAAGTCATTACTCATGCAGTCATGGTTCTCATCTAGTAACAACACTTCTTGTGTTCTGCTATGCTCTCTTGAGAGAAAAAGCAATTAAGATACAGCTTACATGCAGGGAATTGTGCAGATCCCCGCCTACTTTGTCTATTATCTTAGTAGTGAATGGGAGTGGTGAATCAGTTATCTAACAATCACTTTGAAATAAAAAAAGAACTACAGCTTTCATGTGTACCTTTGACTTCCAGTAGTTTTTCATTTTGTGATATGTATGTGAAGAGGTCTTATTTTATTTTTGTGTAAGGCAACTGACTGCAAGGAATAGTAATTATAAACCATTAATGTTTGCATTTAGAATGTCAGCTTTAGGAGGGCAGGGATTTTGTCTGGTTTGTTTACTGCTATGACTCAGTGAGTAGACTCATATCTGGTGTATACCAGGTGCTCAATGTGTATTTGTGGAAAAATACATATTTTTCTTTCTGCTTAAGAGGATAAAAGAATAGATTTTAGAATCTAGTAAAGTTGCTGGCACCTAGATTTGACCGTCATTGGGTATCCTATATCATGTGATTTAACTAATTTTGTGTTCTTTGATTTCTTCATCTATTTTTCTTTAAAATAAGCTATGAATATCTACTTCACTGTAAGATTCAAATAGGTATGAAAATACAGTTAAGAAACACTAATGCTTCATCAATATTATTCTTGTCATAATGTGATGTTAGTAACAAACGTCTTGTAATTTCTGTATCAAGAAAAGCTGAGGGGCCAGCGCTGTGGCATGGTGGGTAAAGCTGCCGCCCACAGTGCCAGCATGCCATATGGGCGCCGGTTCAAGTCCTGGCTGCTCCACTTCCAATCTAGCTCTCTGCTATGGCCTGGGAAAGCAGTAGAAGATGGCCCAAGTCCTTGGGCCCCTGCACCTGCATGGGAGACCCAGAAGAAGCTCCTGACTCCTGGCTCCTGGCTCGGTTTGGCGCAGCTCTGTCTGTTGCAGCCATCTGGAGAATGAACTAGCAAATGGAAGATTTCTTCCCCCCCCCCCCCAACTCTGCTTTTCAAATAAATAAAATGAATCTTTAAAAAATATAAATTAACTTCTATCAGTTTGTATACTCTTAAAAAAAAAAAGAAAAACTGATAATGTTTCCCAATGTTGATGGGGTCTTTGGCATGGAAGAGCTAACAGCTCAGACTAGTCCTATGGGAAAGTTCAGATTTGAGAAATAGAGATTTATACCAAGGCCTGTGCCTTTCTCCATTTAGACTGTATGAAACATGGGTTAAAGTTGACTTTAATTAAAGGAAACAGTAATTTGGACCAATTTGATTCATATTATTCATTTCAGGGAAAAGATGTCAAAGGGTTTTTTAAGACATATAATGCACTGGAGAAAACTCCAAGAACTAGGAACTCTAGGCTAAACTCTGTGTTTTGTTGAAATAATTTTCTCATCTATAAAATGAACCTGATAATCCCTGCCTTCTCCCTCATATAGGGCTGCTGGGAGGACCTCATCAGAATGGACTGGATTGTTCCATGTTAAACTCTGGAACACTGTATGTCTTAGAGCTTACCATTTTTTTTTCTTTCTGACTTTGATCTGGTCAATCAGTGAGTCAGAATGGCTAATCCTGGTAGTCTATGACATGATGGCAGGAGGGGGCTGGCATTTAGTAAATACATGATACCCTGCTTTTTTTTTTCCTCTGGTATGGCCTTTCAGCTCATGAATGGTGCTTCCACTACAGATCAGAGAGACTATAACAACAAACATCTTTAGTCCAAGAGAAAGAGGGATGCCTCACTCTTGAAAAACTCCTGGGGCTTCCAGGGCCTTCAGGCTGAAAGCACAAGAGTTAAACACTATTGCTTGAAGAAATCAATACCCAGCCTTTGTTCTATTCTGAAGGATGAGACAGCTCTGTTCCAATTCGAGCAGGATGTGTGAAGCATATGATAGCCTATGGTGGCCTAGCCTGGCCAGCAATTGTGAAGGAAGCAACCTAATAACCCCAGGTGACTGTGACAATGAAACTCACTGAGGACTTGAAAATGAGAATGTCAGTACATTTATTTATCTATTTCTTAAAGACAGAAGTGGAAAAGGTTTAAAGCAAATATCGTCTTGAAATTATGGAATGTTTTCAAAATCTTTTCTTTTACTGTTAAGGTAGCCCAAGAACTTGGTCTGCCTTATACACATTGGTTTCAAATACCTTTTGACTACGGAATCATTTCTTGTTCAGAGAAGCCTAGTAAGTGTTACAGGATAAAGCAGACTTGCTCCATTGTATGGGGAATGGAGGCTAATGGTCTGGTCCCTGACTATTTCATTTTCCCAGTGGTTACCATCTCTAAGATGGAGTCCTCTGGTCATTCTGCTCAGGTTGTTCATTTACCTGGTAACTCAGATAATGCCCTTTTCTGATGGGTTTTCCGGATGGAAATCATATGGACCAACTGAAGGCTCAGGACTAGGATGATCTCATTTCCAGTCCTTGCAGTGCATGGCAGTGTCTGGCCCATAAGGAGGTCAGCACGTGTTTGCTGAATATGCCTGACTTTCCCATCTTGTCTACCATTCTATTACTACCTGCACCTGTACCTTTTCCACTCTTCTGTCCAAATCTGGAATTTGTCTGTTCTCCACAATTTTGGCTCTTCCACCTCTAAGCTGTCCTGCCAATAGTGATACTTGCATTAAAACACTAAGATATAATATCTGGATGGAGATGCTAAACCCACTGAAGGCAGGTAGAACCTTGAATGTCAAGAACATGACTCGTAATTAAATGAGGCCTCTCCACAGATTATCATTCAGGTGTGTCTATTTCTATGCAATGAACATCTGTTGAGTGCCTACTATGTATTTGACACTTTCAGTTGATGAAATTATAGCAGCTAATAACACAAGCAACATCCCTGCTACTAAGACCTTACTTTCCACAAGAGAAAAGCAAATATAAACAACATGAAAAAGTGAACCAAACATAACATCCATGAACACCACAATGCTAATTTACACAAAGTGAAGCAACAGGGTGGCTGGGTGCCTCTTTACATTATGTCATCAGGAAAAGCCTCCCTGAGAAGGTAACAGGTAGAAGACTGAGTAGCCAGGAGGAGCCACAGAGATCAGAGGAAGAGGATTTCAACAAAAGGAAGTTAACTAGTGCAAAGTCTTATGTATGCTTTAAGAAGCAGGGCACAAGTAAGGCAGTAGATTAGATCAGAGAGTTCTGAAGGGCCCAGGTCATGTAGGGCTCTCTGAGCCACGGCAAGTCTTGTATTGTAATGATTTGAACATCATGGGAAGCCTTGGTGAGTTTTTAAAAGTCAAACTGGGTATTTTGAATAATTACAGATTCATATGCAGTTGTAAGAAATAAGCAGAAATCCTATGTATCCCAATGTTAATATCTTGCAACATTGTAATGCAACATCACAACCAGTAAATTGACATTAATATAATCCACGGATCTTACTCAGATTTCCCCAGTTTTACTTGTAGTCTTTTGTGTGTGTGTGTGTGTGTGTGTGTGTGTATTTTATGCAATCTTATCCCTTATGTAGTCCTTTATCTACTACCACAGACAATACAGAACAGTTCTATAACCACAAAGAGACTTCATGTTGCTCTTCTGTAGCCACATCCATATCTCTCCCACCTGCCCCCCCCCCCATCCCAAACTCCTGGCAACTATTAATCTTCCCTTTATTTTTATAATTCTGTCATTTCAAAACTGTTATATGTACAGAGCTTTATAGTATATAACATTTTGGGGTTGACTTTTTTCAACAGCCAAGTTGTTCCATGTATCAATAATGTTTCCTTTCCTTGCTGAGTAATACAGCAATTACATGGTATGGATGCACTAGTTTATTTAATCATTCACCCACTGAGTTGTTTCCAGCTTTTGGCTGTTATGAGTAAAGCTGCTATGAACACTTGTGTGTAATCATAAGTTTTCATTTCTCTTGGGTAAATGCAATCATTTGGTGGTATGGTAGTTATATGTTTAGTTTTAAAGAAACTGCTCGCTTCTTTTCCAGAGCCTTGGATCAATTTTAAGAAGGAGGTGATTTGATTTATGATTTGTTAAGACTTTCTAGAAGCCCTTTGCAACGTAGAGCATAAAATTGCCAAACAGAAACAGAGTCACCAGCTCTGAGGCCAGAATAGGAATGATGGCTTAGACAAGAGAGGCACTAATGGAGATGGAGCTGTGTGGACATGACCTCAGGCAAGCTGTTTAACTTTTCAGATTCTTTTCTTTAGCATTTGCATCTGTGAAAGGATAAAAGAATGACCACCTAAGAAGGTGCAAAAGGTTGCAAATAAAATGCATATAGAACATAGCACACAGTAGGTGGCCAGAAGTTTGGAGCTATTATCTCTGCGTTTAGTTTCTATTTTAATAAGTGCAAGCTGATCATTACCTTTCTCTTTTCTTGGAAAGTTTTAAATTCACACATAGTAATTACACATATTTATGGGGTATAATGTCATAATCCAATACATGGATATAATGTATAATGATTAAATCAGGGTAATTAGCATTTCCATCTCCTTAAATCTTTGTCATTTCTTGATGTTGAGAGCCTTAGAACTCCCCTCTCCTAGTTCTTTATAAAATAAATAATATATTGTTATAAATGATAGTCATCTTAGTGTTCTGTAGAACACTAAAACACTTATTCTTCCTGTCTAACTACATTCTGTTGCCTGTTATTCGATTTCTCTCTATCCTACTGTCCTGCTACTCTTCCAACATTGCCTTTCTTTTCTTTTTAAAAACATCATATGCCTGAATTGCTTATGGCTTCCTTGTTCATTTTATGACTAAAATTTTTTTTTGCTCTTTAGTTTTTTTAAACTTTTATTTAATGAATATAAATTTCCAAAGTACAGCTTATGGATTACAATGGCTTCCCCCCACATAACTTCCCTCCCACCCGCAACCCTCTCCTTTCCTGTTCCCTCTCCCCTTCCATTCACATCAAGATTCATTTTCAATTCTCTTTATATACAGAAGATCAGTTTAGCATATATTAAGTAAAGCTTTCAACAGTTTGCACCCACATAGAAACACAAAGTGAAAAATACTGTTTGAGTACTAGTTATAGCATTAAATCACAATGTACAGCACATTAAGGACAGAGATCCTACATGAGGAGTAAGTGCACAGTGACTCCTGTTGTTGACTTAACAATTTGACACTCTTGTTTATGGCATCAGTAATCACCCTAGGCTCTTGTCATGAGTTGCCAAGGCTATGGAAGCCTTTTGAGTTCACCAACTCTGATCATATTTAGACAAGGTCATAGTCAAAGTGGAAGTTCTCTCCTCCCTTCAGAGAAAGGTACCTCCTTCTTTGATGACCCGTTCTTTCCACTGGGATCTCACTCGCGGAGATCTTTCATTTAGGTCATTATTTTTGCCAGAGTGTCTTGGCTTTCCATGCCTGAAATACTCTCATGGGCTTTTCAGCCGGATCCACATGCCTTAAGGGCTGATCCTGAGGCCAGAGTGCTGTTTAGGACATCTGCCATTCTATGAGTCTGCTGTGTATCCTGCTTCCCATGTGGGATTGTTCTCTCCCTTTTTTATTCTATCGGTTAGTATTTGCAGACACTATGACTAAACTATTTTAAAAAGGCCAAATTTGTGGCTTCATTTACAGATGCCTGTCTTTACAAAGCCCTCTGGAGAAGAAACTTGAAATGAGATTTCTTTTTTCTATCTTGAAGTGTTTTCAACTGTCTGTGACATTTCCTCTGCTGTGGAACCCCACCTGTACACATTTTCTACTTACACTGATAAAGTATTCTAGGTTTTATGGAGAATGATACAATAACTGCTGCCGGTTGGAGATAGTAATCTGGTTAGTCACATTGTGGTGGAACTCAAGTGAATGGAAAAATGAGCCTGGGACTCCGGTTGTGGCTGACAGCCTCAAGGGCACAACTGCTGAGAACATGTTGGATTCCTTCTCATCTCTGGGTTACTAAGAGCTAATTGGAGGTGTAGGAAGTAGTGTATGGAGTGCATACAGTGAGACACACTCTTAACATATTTAATTTAATCCTCCAGAAAATTCTGAGTGCATACAGTGAGACACACTCTTAACATATTTAATTTAATCCTCCAGAAAATTCTATCTGATATTTAGCTGTCTTTCCCACTTCATGTATGTAAAGATAAGGCTCAGAGAAATGAAACCATTGCTTAACTACTTGTTGTTTCTTTTTTAACTTTTATTTAGGAAATATAAATTTCCAAAGTACAGCTTATGGATTACAATGGCTTTTTCCCCCCCATAACTTCCCTCCCACCTGCACCCCTCCCATCTCCCACTCCCTCTCTCATTCCATTCACATCAAGATTCATTTTCAATTCTCTTTATATACAGAAGATCAATTTAGTATAACTTAAGTAAAGATTTCATCAGTTTGCACCCACACAGAAACACAAAGTGTAAAATACTGTTTCAGTACTAGTTATAACATTACTTCACATTGGACAACACATTAAGGACAGAGATCCTACATGAGGAGTAAGTGCACAGTGACTCCTGTTGTTAACTTAACAATTTGACAGTCTTGTTTATGGCGTCAGTAATCACCCTAGGCTCTTGTCATGAGTTGCCAAGGCTATGGAAGCATTTTGAGTTCACCGACTCCAATCTTATTTAAACGAGGTCATAGTCAAAGTGGAAGTTCTCTTCTCCCTTCAGAGAAAGGTACCTCCTTCTGTGATGACCTGTTCTTTCCACTGGGATCTCACTTACAGAGATCTTTCATTTGCTTAACTACTTTTAACATTAGTAATTAGAAGTCAATAAGTATATAGAATTAAGTGTTAATAAAAAATTTAAAAAGTTTAAGGAGATAGAAATGCTAAGTAACCTGATTTGATCATCACACATTGAATACGTGTATCAAATTATCACATATATACAGAATAAATATGTACAATTAAAACAAAAAGATGCTAATGAGCTTTATCTGTGCAACTTTTGCCCTGTTTCCAAGTGCAATGGCAAGCCTGATGTTTTTGGGTCTTTTTTCTACATTCTGGAATCATGCTAGGCTCTTCCAGCCTTGGTGATAGAAAGTTAACTAAGGTGGCTTCAAATAAAAAAGGGAATTTATGGACTGAGAACAAAATTTATTAGTTTTAGATGTAGCTAGATCTGGGTGCTCAATGTCATCAGAGGTTAGCTCTTTTTCTCTCTGGATCCCACAAATTTCAATTTGTTTCTATTTTCAGGAAGGCTGACAGCTCAGGATGGTTCCAAGATACTGCTGACTCATGTTTTCATTCCAGGTCTGTGGAGAAGGCCTCTTGTCAAACTTTCAGGAAAGTTCTGAGGTTGGCAATGTGTTGATGTGTGCCTGTGCCAATCATGAAATAATCACTGTGGGCAATAAAATGGAGCTGAGTTGACTGGTAAGGCCTGTGACCTGGGCCGACTGCTGAATATAGGGAGTGTATCAAACCACATAAACACCAAGTGGAAAACAAGTGGCTCCTTGAGAAAATTATTGGGTGTTTTGATCATAAAAATGACAGCTGCACACTGAGTAGGAGGAGACAATGAAAGACAACCATGATACTCTATTAATACAGGTTGAATATCCCCTATCCAAAGTGTTTGGGGACAAACATTTTAAAATTGGATATTTTTGGATTTTGGAATTTTTGCATGTATAGAATGAGATGTATTGGGGATGATACCCAAGTCTAAATGTGAGACTCCGGCCGGCGCCGCTGCTCACTAGGCTAATCCTCCGCCTTGCGGCGCTGGCACACCGGGTTCTAGTCCCAGTCGGGGTGCTGGATTCTGTCCCGGTTGCCCCTCTTCCAGGCCAGCTCTCTGCTGTGGTCAGGGAGTGCAGTGGAGGATGGCCCGAGTACTTGGGCCCTGCACCCTATGGGAGACCAGGAGAAGCACCTGGCTCCTGCCTTCGGATCAGCGCGGTGTGCCGGCTGCAGCGCGCAGGCCGTGGCGGCCACTGGAGGGTGAACCAATGGCAAAGGAAGACCTTTCTCTCTGTCTCTCTCTCTCACTGTCCACTCTGCCTGTCAAAAAAAAAAAAAGTGAGACTCATTTATATGTCATTTGCACTTTATATACAAAAATTTTATATATTATTTTTAGTGTTCTTTTGTTTTGACTGTGACCCATCATATGAAGTCAGAAGTGGACATTTCCACTTGTGGCATCATGTTGGTGTTCAAAAAAATTTAGATTTTGGATTTTGAGATTAGGATGCTTAATCTGTACTATTTTTAAAGGTTTATTTATTTGAAAGGCAGAGTGACACAGAGTGAGAGGGAGAGACAGAGATCTTCCATATGCCAGTTCACTCCTCAAGTGCCTGCAACAGCCAGGGCTGATCTAGGCTGAAGAGGGTGCCAGACACTCCTTTGGGTCTCTCACATGGGCAGTATGGGCCCAAGCAACTGGGCCATCTTCTGCTGCTTTCCCAGGCACATTAGCAGGGAGCCGAACTGAGAGTGGAGCTGTCAAAACTTGAACTGCTGCTCTGATCTGGGATGCTGGAGTGGTAGGCAGCAGCTTAGCCTGTACCATCTTAGAAGAAACATTTCCTCCTTTTACTTTCTTCCTTCTTTTCTTTCTATACTGTTTACTAAATACATTCATATAAATAGTTTTCTTGGATCAATTTTTGTA